GTACTATATTTTCTACATTATCTTATTTCTTATTCTAAAGTGTCCAATTTATCTTCTATGTTGTTACATACTCTACTCTTACTTTAACAACTTTCAACCTTCTTGCACTCTATCTTCATGTATTTTATCTCCCTGATATTTCTCATTATTACAATTATTTTATCTTATGCATTTGAATATAACTACATATGCCTATATATTTTCTCTAAAGCTTTTTTTTTAATAAATTTTTATATGTTCATTTGATTTTTCATGTCTTTATTACAAAATATTATATCATTAGTTGATGTAAAATTTTCTTTTTTATCTAACATAGATAATTGAATTTTATACTAGTAGCATCAACCATTCAAGTGTAAAAGACTAATACCATTGAGACAAGATTACTTCTTGTTGTGGTTTCATAAATCAACCTCAATATGAAATAATATAAAATTAATAATATTATGAAAAAAAAAATAGTTTCTTCTAGTAAAAAAGTTTGAAGAAGGATTAAGATCTTTATTAGGTTTTTTTCTTTGGAAATGATGTTTTGTGCGGAATCCTACTCATGTAGGTTTGAGAGTATCCTTCTCTGATTTTGCTTTGTCAACTTCTTTTTTCATGTTATTTTTATTCTATTATATAGGTGGATTCCTAAAAACTAATATTTGAATTTGATTCTTTGATTCTATGATATATCTAGGTATACGATAAGTGATGACACTCATATTCGCTTATGCCAATCTGTTGAAATTGTGATTCTAGAGATATTGGTTTTAGTGGAAGCCATGTCAACGTCCTGGCTTCTATTTTTGCGATTGTCCATTGCAGCTGCTGTAGTGCTCTTACGTCCCTAGTTCCGCATGAATATATCTTCATGTAGATTCACCTTCGAATTGTGGCCATTGTTGTTGGACGTTATTCTCTGATCACATTCATCAACTCTTACTAACTACAATTGTTTCAGTTGATGATACCCTCAGGAACTTGTTCCCTGATTGTAACGTAAGAGTATATAATACTCTTTCGTGCACCTTTAACTCTGAACAAAATGTTCCATTTTATCTCTCTGCTTAGTATCGTACATGGTATTAGAGCTTTAGCTTGTAGTACACGTTTTTAGAGCAGATTAGCTATGAGCAGTGCTCCACTTTGTAATGGTATGTCGTCCTTAGACTCCCAAACAACTAGTAGAGAGACTAGAGAGCTTGCACGAGGAACAATAAGTCACCAGGCTACTCCAGTGCTTACAGCCAACTTAGTGGGAAGTGTCTCGGTCAGCCACGTAACAAGCCAGACCACAATATTAAAAATCTACCATGTTATTGGTTTAGAAAATTATGGCATTTGGGGTTATAGAATGCAAAATGTCCTAAAGAGAGATGGATTGTACTATTGTATCACCGCACCTAGTGACCCCATGCCAGAAGAAAAAAGGATTAGACAACTAGCTCAAAATGCACTTAAGAGCAGTGTCAAGGATGGTACAACTCTTAAACTTCTTAGACAGTATTGGAAATCGTATGATTGTTGGACCTCACTCAAATCTTGCTATGAGTCAGACAACAATCCTCGTTGAGTTTCTTTAAAATTGGCAAGTTTATTAACATAAGGAAGACAAACGGCATGGATGAGAATCTCATGGACATGAAGGATGCCGCCGACTTGCTTGATAAAGTCAGAGTCCCTCTTCCAGAAGAAGTTATGACTTATTATACACTCAAGAATTTACCAAAGGAATTTGACGTTACGAAGCAACTTATTCTCAACGAGAGAAAATTGTTGTCTTATAAAGAATTAGAAGCTTGACTATTGGATGAGGAAACATCCAGAAACCTTGACTCATACCTGGAGCAAGACAACGAATCACTTCTTGCGTTTCCAAGCAATACTTGAAGGTCCTACAGCAACTGGGGAGGAACAAGTCGCGGATACAAATCTTACCACCACCATCAAGGCGGGTGGAACAATGTTCACAGTGACAGATTCAATCGAAAGAATCCAGCTCATTCAAGCCCCGGCAACTTACACTCGAGAGGGTATTCCTCTTTTAGTGACCGCGGCCCACACACAAAGGACCATAGGCAAAATTCAAATTTTTGAGGCATTTATCAGCCACACCCTAGCAGCAATTGACTGGGTTTGAACATGTCAACTCATAACTCTTTTCATCTTGATTACAAGAGAGATAACTTCGAAGGGGAACTTCTCGACATCATTGAACGAGTTAGAACCATGGAGTCTTGTCTTAAGAGGGACGAGTATCAAAAGAAAACTTCAGGCGGTCCGTATTCACAATATCAAAATAAACAAGGATGAAGATCAATGCAATTATGAACATGATCCAGAACAGGAAGAGGGATCAACTTCAAAAAAGTTCGAGGCCTACTTACTCAAGGTAAACACACTAAACTACAACTCCAGCCCATGGTACTTAGACTTGGGCACCTTACACCACATATCCGAGGACAAGACAATCTTTTTGTCAATAAAACCAAGTATGGGTACTCGAATCACCTCCGCGGGAGGACAAGGACATAATATATTGGGCATCGGCAATGTTGCAATTAAATTCCCCAATGGAGAAATTCAACAGATCCGTCATGTTCTCTAATTCCTTAGCATACAGAAAAATCTATTGTCTGTTTGCTATATCAGACAGGGATTTTTCATTTAAATTTTGCAATCTCAAATGTTGCATCAATGATTCTTTGGGGAATACCATTGCTACAACAGTAAGAGAAAAGAAGAATGGTTTACACAAGCTCATTGGTGAAACTATAGTTGGATTTTCAGAGACATCTCACGGCAAGCACTTAGCTACTCAGATAATACATCACCTCTGGCCACTCTCTAGCACAAGAGACTTGGTCATTTTAATTACCAAGGGATGCGTCAAATCATAGAGTTTAAGCAGTAAGAGGATTACTATGCTTTTACGTGCCAAACTTCCCTTGTATTAGCTGCCTCTCAAGAAAATAGAATAGGAAGAAAATTCCAAAAAATTGCACAACCGCATCAACCAAGCCCCTTCAACTTGTCCACATCGACATTGCAGGCCCGTTTAGAATCAAATCTCGTGGAGGCACCCAATATCTACTCACGTTTATAGATGATTATTTTTAAAAAATAAAATAAAAATAAAAAAATAAAAACTGAATCTATTTTCTTCAATCCAAAGACGAGTACTTTGAAAAGTTCAAATTCTTTCATAGAATGGTTGAAAAAGATGCAAAGCACAGCCTGACATCGCTCTAATCCGACAATGGTGGAAAATTTACTTCCCATTGTTTCACCACCTACTACATGAATAATGGCATCCGTCGGCAATTGCCATTATGATGGAGTGGTGGAAAGGCGCAACTGCAGCATCCTTGATATTGTCTGTTGTATCTTACAGCATGCTAAAATTCCTCCTACTCTTTGGGCCGAAGCAGCAAAGGCAGCTTGTCTATTGCTCAACGCTCGATCAACAAAATCCGCCCTCATCATATTGCGGAGTCCATTGTCGCTAGCTCTATCCGCGCTTCCAATCCATCATCAACTGCCATTACTGTCATCAGATCTATTCGAGCATTCTTCACCTGAAAAGCTACTAGTTCCGGATCTTTCCCTTATAGATTTGCCCTACGTGCCGTCAATCCAATCAGATCCAAGTTTGTCCACACTCCTACGATAGTTATGTTTGCGTCGATCTAGTTGACTCTTTCATTGGCGTAATAGAAGAGGGAGGCGAGCAACTCACCTATGCCCCACCTTAGACAACCTCGTGGTGGATTTTGGCCATGCATTCCGAATTGCACTCTATCCAGAAAAATCACACATGGAACCTCGTTCTTTTTTCCTCTAGGTATTTGCCTTATATTGGCCCAATGAATGTATAAACTAAAGCTCAGCATCAACAGTTGTCCACCTCAGCATAAAGCTCACATTGTTGCAAGGGGTTTCAAACAACATGAGGTTAACTTTGCTGAAACACTTGCTCCTACTGTTTGGTAGGAGTCCATCTGTCTCGTTATCGGGCTGGCCGCACATAATGCATGGCACATTTTTCATATGGACGTAGCCACCGCATTCTTGAACGGATTCTTACAAGAAGATGTTTTCATGTCTCAGTCTCCCAGATGCGCAATCCTCTACACTTAACATTCAATCTGAACCGTTCACTCTACGGACTGAAACAATCCTCCAGAGCGTGATACAGCCGCATAGACTCCTACTTCCGAAAGCATGGCATGTTTAGAACCGCGGCCGACCCAAACATGTATTACACTTGCACAACGTCCTTTGCTATTCTCCTTGTCTTCTATGTTGATGACCTCCTTATCACAGGTTCAAATTCAGCAACTATTGCATCGCTAAAAAGACTACTTCATTCTGAATTCAAGATGACTGACTTGAGCCTCATGCACAAATTCGTAGGAATTCAGTTCTTTCAAACAACGCTTAGCATTTTACTCCATCAGGTCGAGTATGTTCAATCAATCATTGATGACTACACTCTGACTCCTCGTGCAACAGCCCACGTTCCGCTCTTTAAACTGACACAACTTCAAAAAGACACCCCAATCAACGAACACGATTATCAAGGTCTCATTGGCAAACTATATTACATGACCAAGACCCGTCTTGATATTATGTTTGCCGCCTTGCTACTTAGTTGAGTTATGCATGGACCACAACAGTTCCACCTTCGTAGTGCTCAGCAAGTTGTCTACTACCTTCAAAAAACCTCATCTCTTGGACTGTGGTTTCTAAGAGAGGAGGGAGATCACATACAAGGTTTTTCTGATGTGGACTACGCATGAGACATTGATGAATATCCACTAGCGCCTACCTATTCACCAATATAACAACCCCTATTTCTTGGTGTTCTCAAAAACAGACCTCAACATCCAAGTCATCATGCAAGTCAGAATATAAAGCACTTGCACGTTGCACATGCGAGGCTATCTCGCTGAGGCACCTCATACAAAAACTTGGTTTCAAAAGCAATTAAGCAACAAAGATCTGGTGCAACAATCAAAGTGTTGGAGGTTACTCTCTGATCACCATTCATCAACCCTGACTAACGACGACTATTCCAGTAGATGATATCCCCGAAAACTTGTTCCCTGATTGTAACGTAAGAGAATATAATACTCTTCCGTGCACCTTTAACTCTGAACAGTATGTTCCATTTCACCTATGTTCCATTTCACCTCTCCGCTTAGTATGGTACAGTTGCGAGGGTTGACAGATTTTGGCGAGGTAAGGTTGCCGTTCTGTTGGAGCTCCTGTCACCAACGCCTCCTGGTTCTATTTTTTCTCCTCTCTTGCATCTTTGTTACTATAGTGTACAATTGGAGATGTTGGCATGTCCAAGTTTTAATTCCTTGTTGAGTTACAAGGAGGCTGCGGTGGTGCAGACAGCCCTGTTGTTCGTGGGATTTTTTGGTCATCAAGGCCTATTTCTGTTTGTCATTGGTTTTGAACGGCAGATTGCCTCCAATTCTGACTGTCCCTGATCTAATTCCACGTTGATATTCTTCTCTTTATTGTCCGTGATCTTCTCTTGCTGTTAGTCCTCTCTTGGTTGTTCTCGTGGATCGGCTCCTACTAATCGTGTTCCTCTTGCTCTCATGCTGCTGATCCTCGTGTCTGCTCTTGGTTTTATCCGTTTTCAATCTCCATCATCACCGTAGAGTCCTTGTTGTTGTTCTTCTTCTTCAAGCTGCGGCGCTTGCTTAGAGTTGCCATTGCTGATTACGTTTTGTCGTTTTGTTGTTTTCCTTGGGTTTCCGATCATCATGGTCATCCTCACTGCCTTGGCTCTCCTACACAGCAACCGCTTTGCTCACGTCCTGCACTCGCCGGTTGATGCTCAGACCATCCCAACTCGCATCACTTCACTCCCCTACTTGGGCAAGGACGCAAGATGTTGACAGCTGTTGATTTTCTCCGGGCTAACGACCGGGTTGATGATTCCGATCTATGTGGTGATTGTCGTCTGTAGGAGCTGGAGGGGATAGTACGTGAGGTTGCCGCAACGAGGAAATTGCCAACCGGCGATTTAGAGTGAAGCTGTGAGGCAGATGTAGAGATGATAAGAGCTTTGAATCGAGACATTTAAATTTTGTTGCCTTCGATTTGTGTCATAGTTGGTGACGACTGTAGCTGAGTTGCAATGCGAGGGTACTACTCCGTATTCACAGGGTGTGGATTAGCATTAATCTTGCAAGTTTTTAAACACTGGTGAAGTATTGTTGGGTCTGGTGCCGATTGCTACTGAAGTTGTTCAGGTTAAGCTTGGGTCTTCTAAGAGGTGCACTTAAAGGATGTGGAGTTAGTGAGCGTTGTGGTGAGAGATATAGATTGGATGGCCAACGCATTAAGTTCGTGCTTCATTGTGTGCACAAACAAAATGATGTCAATAGACATTTGACGTGATTGGAATTATACTACTTGAGGGAGTGAGGTGACTCAATTCCATCGACCACAACTGGGTTGTTGATCCTCATCAACGAGGTGGTTGCCATCCGCGGAAAAGCTGGAGCTTGGTAACAAATTTGTTGATGGCCATTTGACTCTACTTCCCATTATTGCAGTCGCTGCTAATGTCATCGTCGTATTAGAAGGCGAGTTGCCAGTAGGCAAAAATGAGTAGGCTGAAAAGATCCATAGTGGTGGAGTGGAGCAGTTAGAGGTTCTTGTAGCCAAGTTCTGGTTACAGTTAGGAAGGCAAAATCACAACCATGCGACCACACAAAAACTGCTGAGGTAATATTGTTAAGAATTCTAGTAGACAGAACAATATTTGGATGAATTTTTTGGATGAAGTTAGCTTAGGATTTGGGTGAATTTAAGATGTGGATGAAATCTTATTCAGAGATAAAATCTCATTTAAGGATGAAATTTTATTGATGGATGAAAAATAAATATAAAATATAAAATTTCCTCAATAGGTGAAAATTTATGAATTAATGGACATTGCATGCATGGATGATTGTGAAGGCTCATTATGTGAAATGAAGTTAATTTGGAGAGATTAAGCAATTGTTTAACAATAATTTAAGCAATAGTTATAATTAGTGAAATACATAAGTTAATTAGATTATTGAAATTTAGAATAAATTACCATCTAATAGAGATTTATTATAGTTCTTAAGAAAGTTCTATCAATTTGTATAATCATATAGAACAAAGTGTATAAGAATCTATATGATTATGAAGTATGGTCCTTTAATCCTTTTTAGGTTAATTTTAATTCTTAATTCAATCCTAATTTAATCTTAAGATTTTTTTTCCAAAATCCTCTTTAATTATATTGCCAAGCTTTTAAGTTGTTGTATCTACATGAGCCATTTCATGCAATCTAAAGAGGAAAAGAGAGGAGAGAGGGAGAAGAGAGTTATCATATTTTGCTACCTCTAGGGTTGTTTGTACCTTCTTTTCTTATTGTTTATTTTGTCTTGATATTATTGTCTTCTTTGTTATTATTGCTACTATCAAGTTCAAGCTCTGTGAGCTAGAAATCTTTATATTACTCAAGTAGTGTTGTAGTGGAGTTGTGGAAGTTCAGTTGACATTGATTCTTCTACAACACTAGTTCTTTTTTTGGTTGTATTTTTCTCATTGATTGTATTGGCATCAATTCTTCTTCAAGCTAATATTTTTTTATTTCTTTATTTATTTTTTCTAGTCTTCATTACTATTTTTTTTTGTTATTTTATTCATCTTTATTTTCATCTTCATGATTGTGGTGACATTTTAATTATAACAACCATGGTATTGGTTGTTGTAGGATCTTATTGTAAAAGCCATAATTTATATGGATTGCAAAATTTGCCTTTTCAATAAGGCTTTCTTTCAATTCTCATTTCTTGACTTCACACATTTAGTTGTAGTTCTACATTTTATTTGTGGATGATTGAAGTGTTGCAAGTCTCATCAACTAAGCTTTGTGCTGTGTGTGTTTCTTTTGCATTGTATAAGTATCTTTTAATATTATCTCTAGTGTACAGTTTTATAAATTAAGAATAAGAATTGAGCTCTTAGACTTTAAAATTCAAAAGATCTAATTAAACAAAAGTTTGTAGTGTATTATGATGTTAAAAGTTTGATTTGGATTTAACTCCAAGCGGATGTCTATTGCTGAGGTGGTTCATCACCAAAGTGATTCTTATACCATTGATTTTACTCTATTGATTATCTTGGTTTTGATCTACATCAAAGTCTTCTACTTTCTTGTTATTACTATCTAATTGATATAGCCTATAATACATTGGTGATCTTCTACAATGCCTTATAGTGGTTGTTGCTAATGGTTGTCACCTTGCCAATTGCTGTTTTGAAGTTTATATTTATACTTGTCATTGTTCCATCTTTAAAAGTGACATTGAAATTCCAAACTTCAATCATGGATTCATCTAGGTTTGAAGTGAAATTCTTGTCTTATTAGAATTGCACCAGGGTTTAGTATATTAGAAGATAGCCATCATAAGAGTGCTTGAATTAGAACACATTTATAAATTTCAATTGGATAGAGTTTTTAAAGAAGAAATTATATAGAAGATTTAGACTAAGTATTGACAAGTTAATAAGCTACTGTATTGTTAAAACAACCAACAAAGTGAACTACTCCTTACTCATATATAAGGATGACTAGTGAACTTTGTTTTTGTCCTAGAAGAGCTAGTCCATTATTCTTTTCAAATATATTGCATGTTGCACTTCCAATCATTTTAATTCTATCATTATTGTTATAAATTAAAAAATCATTAATATTAGGTAGTAAATTAATATTGAATTAGACTATTTAGTATTTAAATTTGAAACCTTGTGAGTTTGGACTGTAAAATAAAAAGACGAGAGCTAAAGTTTCCAAATTGTATCAAAGAAGCCATCTTAAAGTCCACTATCATACCAAAGAATAAGGTATAGAGGACACAATTTTTTAATTCTTAATAGTTCTGGATTTAGAAGATGAAATTCATAATTAAGAGTCTAAATAAAGATCATTAAGATAATATTGTCAAATTTCAAGGATTCAACTTTGATGGAATTTATGATTGAATGCAATTATGACAAATAAAAAATTATACTAAGACAAAATTTAAATAAAGAATGGATTTAAGATTAGAATAAATGATTATTTGAAAAAGAAATTTTGACTAAAAATGAATCATTATTCATAGATGAATTGTTATTTAAAAATAAAATTTGATTAAGAATAAATTAATATTCACAAATAAATTATTATTCTAATATAAATTTTTGATCAATGATGAATTATTATTTGGAAATAAAAACTTCTAAAAATTAATATTTTACATGTATCAATTCTATTAATTCTTATTATTTATTAAAATACTTTGAAAAAAATATTAAAGATAATTTAGGTGGCTTTTAAGTTAGAAATGTAAGTAAATGATATAACAAGTTAAAACTAAATTTTTAAGTGAATTGGAATAAACCAACAATTAATAGGGTTTTATTTTAGCTCATAGTTGGACATGTGTTGGAGGTCCTATAGAACATTGCCTTATAGCTCCCAATTAGATAGTATATAAAGAAATAAGATTGAAGTCTTCTTCACTCTTATCAATGTCTTTATTGCTCTTAGTCTTATTTTAAGACTCTTTAGTTTTCTTGTTTTTTGTAATAGCTATTTTAGTTAAAAATTATAATATATTTGAGTGATTATCTATTCTATTCTAGTGACACAATAGTATTGACCATTTGATTCTTTGTGATTCATGTCCTTAACACATTTTTAACTTCTACAAAAAGTGATAAACTTGTTAAGCAAAAAGTCAACATATGCAACACATGATCAACTTGTTGGCCAAGTTTTCAATATCACAATCACCTACAACACTTAAAAAATCAAATTCAAGTCTATAAAACTTCTATAAAAGTTCTAGAAGATATTATCATTTTTAATTATTTCTACTTATTTCTACCTTACTTTTTTCTTTTTCTTTTTCTTCTTTACCAGTGTTGGTGTGTCTTTGACAATTAGTGCTATTCAAATTGTTGTTTGTTAATAAATTAGTTCAATACACATCAATATCCCACTCCACAAATGATGTATTGAATACCTTCCATTCATTGTTGATCACTGGCAACTATAATGGGTTCAAATGCAACTGTACTTCATGAAAATCCTGTTATTAGAATAACCCTATGCTTTGCCATCTTGCATTAAGGACGTTCTCTTCAATCGCTTAAACAAACACAAAACTACATATAAACAATTGTGTATTTCAATCCTTCAATAAACAAATAAATAAAATCCATTAGCAGAGAGCAATCATTCTTAAATCTCATCCTTATCTACATCTATGCGAGTTATACGTGATCAGGTACGAGTTGCTCACATCAACTTCCACCTTGCACCCCCCCCAATCACAACAACAGCCGACATAAATGAATACTATCCAAAATTAAAGAGCTCCAACAAACCAAACATATCTGCAACACAGAGCACGTAACTCTCATTGTAGAGCAGGCGCGAATGAAACCTACCTCCATTTGGCGCAATCCATATCACTCCATCATAATTGTCCAGGGCACCGCTGTCCCCAACTAGGTCTATTAAAGTCGCGGTCCAGATTCCTTCTGGAACCATGGCATTGCAGCGGCGAGTCATGCCCTACCCCACAAACCAAAACTATATTACATTTTAGCCTTCAGCTTAGATCCGATGAGTGTGAGTGAATATTTTTATAATTCTTCTGACTGTTGTCGGACTGGCAGTTCTGTTTCATCATGATCATTGCAAATTGGGTAAAACGAGTTCTATATTGAACTTTAAATTGAAGTCAGTGAATACAATGTCCAGTTAAGCATGTAAAAACCAAAAAACTAAAAATTAATATCGTGTCCAACTGCAACCATGTAATACTGCACCCTTAAGGGTAAAACTAGAATATTCTTGTGGGGAACGTTTCCCACAACCACCGATTCACACTTGCGGTTCACAAAATGCCTGGCACCGGGACTGCCAGCCAGAACCATTTCGGGCCCCTAACATCTCGTGTCATCAACGTGAACTAGCGGAGATGGACAACCAGAGGAGTCGAGAAATATCCTCCACCGTCCTGCATTGCACCCTCGAGACTCACGTGACCACACGATGTGGCTGCACAAGGTTATCCCAGGACTTCGCATTCCAGTGACCGCAGCTTGAAGAGTGTCCACGTTGACCTCATGAAGATGCACTTGCCGAAGCAGCGCATTGAAAAGCGAGGTTGGCCAATTTCCGGACGAATTATCAAGGTCATAGCTTTCACTCCAAATAGAAAGCATATTGGTGACAACTTTTGGTGGGATTCGGCCGAGTCAAATATCAGGGACTCTCAAGAATCCTTGCCCTGCATCCCCGTACATTCAGCAGCTTGACTCAAGTAGCGTAATTCTGGATCCCTGTTGAAATAGATGCTTACCGCCTCCTTCTTTCGCGCACGAATGGACATCCGATGTGCCCGTGCATTACAATATCTCCATCGGTGAAAAAATTAACTCCAACGCAACCAAGTTGGTGGACCGACGAGGTTTTACTTTTCCACAAACACCATTTTGAAGTGTGTCACAAGCACGCTGAATGTGGGGAGGGATCCATTTGATGCGGTTTCTTTTCAGTCCCCTTCACAATGCATTGGCTAATAATAGGAATGATTCCCACTCGTGTTCGAAAGATTCCAGCGGAGAGCACGTTTCAGATTTTAGAACGAGTCGAGGTAATCCCAACTCTTCTGTTTGCTTGGTTTAGACAACGAAGGTAGAGGTGACTGTGCAGATGGTGACGTGGACTGGCGCTGTCTCGTCATCTGCCATTTCCATTTGCTGTCCACGTTGGTGTTTGTCCACTTCAGGCAGTCCCACGCATTGCTTGCCTGCCACAGCTTCACTTTTGCTTGGGGGTATCACTGGGTGCAACGAGTTGCTACCCCTCCTG